AGCTATATTTTTAAACACTGACCAGCATCCTCATGCCGCTGGGAAGGTTCAAGACAGAACAAGTAGGATCACTGTTCTTGTGTTCCGTGCCATTCGTGTTTATTAAACATTTTCCCCAAACATCACCTGGACACGAGGCCCAGACCCTGGGACAAAGCACCGACCTGAAAATCCAGGCCCTTTCACAGAGTACTGTCCAGTTATTTAAAACCTTTAAATGAGTCCCCCAGTGTTGCCGGTCCCCCGCCACAGGCTTTGCACCAGTTTCTGAAGTTGCGGGAGATCATTCTGGCGGTGTGAATGCCTCTGCAGGTGCGCCACGTCGCTCCACTCTGCTTTGCCAGCTCCAGCAGGAATGGAAGCCAACTTTGGAACAGAAAATCTCAAATAATTTTCAGGGGTTTCAAAGGCCTCTTCGCTTGCCTCGGGCTCCCCCTCTCTTTGGCCTCCTCAGTCTCATAGGGGCGGCGGCCGCGGTTCCAGGCCTGGTGGTTTAGCTCTGCTGGTTGCATCTTTAAAGGAAAGGGTTGGGGTTGGAGGAGGTGCAGCAGGCAGGAGTGGTTATGCTAAAAAGGATTAGAGTGGGTTGTTTGTTTCCTTGTTTTTAAGAAGCAGGAGGAGCAGGAAAGGAGAAGCAGAAGGGGGGAAAGAGGAGGAATTGAAATTATTATCACACAACAGAGACGTGCTGAATCGTGAAACCGCAGCTGGTCGTGGTTGGTTTTTTTTTTTTAATGCGTTGAAAGCAAAGTGTAATCCTGTGTAAGAATGGATGTTTTTGAGCAGATTAAAGCCCTCGGCCCAGCACGCCATTCCTGGTGTGTGGCTGTGCGCAGGGATTGGGTGTGTGTGTATTTGTTTCCAATTTGTACAGTTCCGGATGTGGTTCGGAGAGTCCACACAGTTTGCGGCGGCAGTTTGGGACCACTGAATGCTAAAGGCAGCAAATTGCCGCCCTTCTGACAAAATCACCAGAAAAGACTCCGTAACTGGTAGTTCAGAGCGCTACTCTCTGCAGGCGGGTCATCGTCCCCGTGTGGCGCTGGCTTTGGCACGCGCCCTCCGCTTGGTTCTCCCCTGGCCTCGGGGTGGTTTCCTCCTGCCCACGGAGCTGGCGGTCCACATTGGGGGTCCCAGGCTCGCTCCCCATGGTCTGTGAGTGAGAGCCACCCGACGGGGTCTAGTTGCTTTCACCGGGGGTCCTGTGGCCGCCGGGGCACGATGCTGGGGGGCTGTGGCGACCCGCTGAGGCCGGGCTGAATGTGGCTTTCTCGGGCCGCGGCGGGAACAGCGGGTGGCACAGCACTCCCAGGAGGTGGCAGCGCCAGCAGCTCCTCGCCCGAGGTCACCGCGCAGTCCTGCTCGGGCTCCGCGCCCCCGGAGCCCCCCGCCGCCAGCCCGCCGCCACGTTTCTTATCCTCCTCCTTCTTCCACTTCATGCGGCGGTTTTGGAACCAGATCTTAATGTGCCTCTCGGTCAAGTTAAGCATGACCGCCAGCTCCACCCGGCGTGGCCGGGAGATGTACTTGTTGAACAGAAACTCCTTCTCCAGCTCCAGCAGCTGCGCGCGCGTGTAGGCCGTGCGTGTCCGCTTGTTCTCCTCCGGCTCCGCAGTGTAGGCGCCGCCTGCGGGCGACACAGCACTGAGAGTGACCCCGGGGCCCAGCCCCACCCGCCCAGTCCTCTGAGGAGGACCCTCATTCCTCAGCTTCCGCCCAGGGCTCACCCCAGCTACTGCCACTTGGCATGGGGCACAGGCAGGCTTGTGGGGGGGGGTGTTCTCCCCTGCCTCCCATCCCCAGGGCTCCCCATGCTGCTCTGGTCACTTCTGTGAGCAAGTGACTTTTAAATGAGGACACTTAACATGCTGATTGAAAGATATAGAACCAATCTTTAAACCACTCTGTTCGGTTAAGACAATTACTGCTTATTGCTGTTGTTGGGGGCGGTCATGAATTTGATTCCGACTCAGAGTGACCCCTTGTGACAGAGTAAAACCGCCCACCAGGGTTTCCTGGTGGCCACACTTTGGGGAGCAGGTCTCTAGGTCTTCCTCCCGAAGAGGAGAGGCTCACAAGATTCAAATCAAGGGTCTTCAGCGCTTCCGCCATCAGGGCTCCATTTACCCTTGAAAGTGGATAGATGTGCTGCCTCCTCTCAAGACTTACAGCCTCCGAAACTTGGAGGGTCGCTCTGAGTCGGAATCCACTTGAAGGTGGTTAGTTTAATCCGAGTTAAAAATGGAAAACCAAAAAGAAGTTTTCAGACAGTCCCCACACTAAGAATACACTTCCGATCACAACCCGGTTCACACGGATATATAACTAACAACAATTTCAGTGCATAAAATAGAGCTCAACCACATATGATGCTAATTATATTCCCTTTTTGAAACTAGATCCTTTAGGGGGGAAACAGGACTGGAGCAGGCCTCAATTCTAAATGGATTTCATGACCCACAATTGGGCGGTAGCTCAGTTTGAAAATCTTATGAACATGGTAGTCTTCCTATCCAAACTGCTGGCACATAGCAACAGCAATGTATCTCCCCCAAAAGTTAGGTTGTTGAGATTAGCACATTTTCTTGGATTGTCCGTCATCCTCCGCAGGCCTGGCCTGCAGGGAAAAGGGCCACAGCACAGGGCCCGGGAAAGCTGCCCTTTCACGGTAGAGGGAACTTCCTCCAGTGCACGGTGGAGCCGGAAGCCCGCACGGTGGGGCGCAAACACTGAGCCCAGGAGCGTGCAGGGGACGAGCTCCAAGCCCGAGCCTGGAGGAAGTCCTGGTGGGGCCTGGCCAGAGACCAGGGCAGCTTGCTTAGGGTGCCGTGCTCCCCAAGATCCCAGCCTGCCTTTTCTCTGTCCTGGGGCCGAAGACGCAGAGACAGCCAGTGCCACCAGGCCTCCAGACCAGGCCGAAGCTTGTCTTAGAGCAAGGCTGGGGCCACGGTTTCTGGGTTGTCAGAAGCCCAGGAAGGCCCCTGGAGGCGGTTTGTTCCTGAGTGGGATGGATGGGCGAATGGATGCTTCCCGGTTGAGGCCTGAATCTATGGAGGAAGCCTGCATCTCAGCAGACGCCTCCTCAGGCCTGGAAGAGAATCTACGGGAATCGGAACCGGGGAAAGATCCTTCACAGTTGTAAATGCAGCACACAACCTCTGAAACTTCCTGTGCTGGACCGAAGGTATAGAAGAAGGGTGTAAGGGGCCTGCTACCCAAAGACTCACTAACCCCTGGGGCCCCCATGGGGGTGGCAGCGGGGTGCTGGGAAATCTGAGCTCCAGGACCTTTCCTGGGCTCTGGGTGTGCTTGGCAAGGCGGCTTAGGTGCCTACGGACAACGGGCTGAGGAAGGACGTAGATGTCTTGGGAAGAAGTTTCCGGAAGCCCCTCCTGATAGAAGCAGTTACATTTGTACTACCAAGACTGTCTCCTCTTCAGACCCCCCCCTTACTTTGCCTTCTCAGGGCACAAACCCCTCTGCGCACAAGCTATCTGGCCTACCCTTGATGTCCCCTTCTTCACAATGTTTCCAAAGGACTGGGAAGTTGGGGTGGGTGTTCCAGCCACTGCCATGGAGGCAGTGGGTTGTACACTGCTTAAACCTCCTGGGGCCGGTCTGGGAGGTCAGGGGAGGGCTTCAGGCTCCTCAACTCAGAAAGGCCACTATTTTCTTTTGGTTTTTCCTTTCAGACCTCAGACTCCGCTAGAGAAACAGCCGCCCCTTTAGGGGATGGCAGGCTTCCCCAGAAGGCTTCTCCCCTGGCCTTCCCTCCTCACTCTTTTCCCAATGGAGCCAAGAGGCTGGGACCGGGCCTGGAGACGCTGCCTGAGAATCTCAGCCGATGGGACTTCCCCGCACCCCCAAAGCCAGGCTGGGGGTTTAGGGGCTTAAAGTGTGTGGTTTGATGCTGCCCGGACATCCTAGGCCCCCCTGCCCAGCCTGCATGCAGCCTCAGAAGGAAGTGCTGGTGGAAGATGAGGCTCTGCCCTGGGCTGCTTGCTGCTGGCCCCTGCACACCAGCAGGCCAAATGGGGTGCCAAGGCCTGGGGAGCCGCTTGAGCCCCCTTCCTCTGACCCGACAGTCAACTGGAAGGAAACTCAATCTCCACTATTTGCAGAGCAGGTGTAACCAGAAGTGGCAGAGGCGATAACATTGTGTAGCCGTGTAGCCGTGGTGGCCGCCAGGCTGCCAGGCTCGCTGCTGGCCAGAGCTAGGAAGGCCGAGGGGGAAAGCCCAGGCCCGGCATATCCCGCAACTCTCCTGGGCCAGTGCAGGGGGTGAGGATCGGAGCAGCAAAGGGATCAGAACGAGCCAGGTCAAGGCCTTGCCCGATCCATGCGCAAGCAGGGCTTTTGGCCTTCCCTGCCTGACTCACAGCCTCCTCGAGGTCCGCCTTCTCCTCACTCAGGGGCCTCCAAACGACCAGTTGTGTTTCCAGGAGAGGTGGTGCGTGAAGCATAGGAGCCCTGGCTGGGCGGGGGTGGGGGGTCGGGGGGAGTACTGCCCCGCCCGCCGCTCACATCCAGTGAGCCCTGGGGCAGCACATCTCTGCCCAAGGAGGATCCGGAGGTCTGGGCTCTGAGCCGGCTGAGTCAACTCTCTGAGCGGGAGCGTGTGTGGGCTGCGGGGACTTAGTATCCATGCAGGAAAGGTCAGCCATTGGGTGCACAGATGCCCCAACTGGACTGAAGAAAATTTGGGGGTAGGTAGACCTCCTGGGAGCCTATATGGTTTCACTCAACCCCAGCTAGCCCGGGAGAAGATGAGGCAGAGAGAGGGCCAGGGCGGGAGCAGCTCGGTGCCCTGGTCGCGCACAGAGCAGAGAACTGGCGGGAGGCGGCCTTACCTGCCCACTGGCCTTTCCACGCGTGGGCCTTGGTGGACTTCATCCATGGGAAGGGCAGCTGGCCGCGCCCGGGTTCCTCCAGGGCGCCCGGTTCCGCGCTGTCGGCGAAGGGCCCGGCGGGCGGCTGCGCGAGTGCGAGCGGCGCGGGGAGGTGGTGGTGCAGCAGCGCGGTGGCCGAGGCGTCGGTGAGCGGGGGCACCTCGTACGGGGAGATGTCGGGGGGGCTGCCCTGCTCCAGCGCGCCCAGGGCACCCGCGAACGGCGGCGGCGGCGGCTGGCGGCCCATGTAGAGACACGCGGGCGGGCTGGCGCGGAACTCGGGCGCAGGGCCGCGCTGGAACGAGCACGGGTCCTTGTACAGCGGGGGCGCCCCGTAGTACTGCTCATCTCCATTCATGGCTCTAGTCGGGGCTGGGGACGCGCCCTGGAGCCGGGACCGGAGCCGGGACTGGGCGCCGAACGCCTGCTGCTGCCGGAGGTACCCGCTTTCTTTGACAGCTCGGCACAGCTCTCTGGAGACCCGCGGCGCCGCCACTGCGCCATAGGCTCCGGCGTGCCCCACGTGGCGCAGCCCGGGGCCACCATTGGCCTGTCTGTCGCCTTAAGAAGCGACGCCCCTGACCGACAGCACCTGCATTTGTTTCCATTTTCTCCCTTTGCTGAGCTTGCAGCACCAGCTCCTGTACGCAGCTGAAGGCGCGCTTCTGAGGGGAGGTGGGCGCGAGGGGGAGAAATGTTGGAATTTCTACTAATTTTTAAAAAATGACTTTTAATGTTTGTTTTAAAGTCGATTTCGCTTGGTGCATTTGATAATGATAATTGTTGTTCTTGTTAAGGTCCATCAATTTTCCACCAGTTTTTATCTCGATTTCAATCCCTCATGACAGAGCAGAGCTGCCCCTTCGGGTTTCATCCACTTCCTAAACAACATTCCTCTGGAAACTCTATGAACTTTGATAAATGGCGATAGTTATAGAAAGGCTCCAGGTCTTATGTTCATAGGGTCGCTATGGGTCATGCTTGACTCCATGACAGTCAACAAGTCTTTGCAGAAGCAGATCACCAGGCCTTTCTTTCGCGGAACCTCAGGATGGATCCATTTGCAGTGTTTCAGTTCACAATCGAATACTTAACCATTGACCTACTAGGGCCCCTTGATAAGTATTAATATTATTTGTTGTTGTGTACCGCTGAGTCTGGGCCCCACTCATAGCTGGCACTCCAGTGGATTTTCAGAGGCTGTTAATTGGACGGAAGGATATTGCCCATCTTTCTAACGCAGGCAGCTGGTGGACTGCAGTGAAGCTTGTTACTACGAGGCCACCAGAGCCCCCTTGATGTTAATGAGAAAAATATTAATTAATTTATTAATTATTTCATTAATATTATTTACAAATATATATGTGCAAGGACTGTAATGTAAACCTTTTAAACTCTTAGGTAATATGGTAAAAAAAAGGCACATCTGTAGACGCAGTCGGCTGTATTTTATTTATTGAAACTTGAGAATGGCCGCCAATGAAATGAATGAGCTAAAGTCTGGCATTCCTGATATATTTTTAACTGTGGCTGTGCTTAGTTCAGAGTGTGAACTAGCTTCAGACGCCTATGGTGTGACTTCATTTTCACTTTTACTTTGAAGGACATTATTAATTTGGTTTCTAAGAAATTTGGGCTCCTTTAGTTCTGGTCAGAAGGTGTTTACCCCACACATAAAAAGGCAGGAAGCAGCGCTTGCCAGGTGGCTAAGCCAGCGCGCTTGGTCCAGGGCTCCCTTTCTAGCATGACTCTCTGGGGGTCCTGAGTTAGGCCAGGGTTGTATGAGGAAGAGCATCCTCACCTGTGTCCTAGGGAAATAAGGCTTCACAGCAACTGCGTTGGAGGACTACCTCCATCCTGTGGGATTCAATACTTTTGGTAACTTGTGCTACCCCTTCCCACGTCGCTTTTGCATCCCAGCCTGCACAGATGCTGCAAGTGAGCGCCCAACCCAGGGCCTTGTCCAGACCGACATTGCCCTCCCTGTTCACCTCAGTGGCTCCTGCTGGCCTCCGCCCGGCCCTGCCTAAATGATGACATTAAGTCTGAACTGAACAGGTTTCTTAAAAACCTGGTATCTTTGCACGAGAGGAAGCATGAACTACTAGGAAATAGAGAGACATGACTACAGTGTCTTTTGTGCAGTTCGGCTCTCTTAAATCACACGCCTGGTGACTTAATGGTAAGGATTTATGATGCCAACAGCAAAGCACGTGGTTTGTATCTACCAACTATTTCACAGGAAAAGATAGGCAGTCTCCTTCCCTGAGATTTATAGCCTCTGAAACCCGCTGGAGGGTCATTTACGAGCTGGTTCCTACACGACAGCACATAACAAATTACACACAACCATGCAGGCCTTGGCGCGGGCATATGTTCTTTTAGTTGAAAGATATGCTTTGTAAATAGGGACAGAATGAGGATGTATTTCAGAAATGCTTTTATTTTATTGAAAACAAAAATGGGAAAGCCGGTTGAGAGTTCTCTTCGCGGACTGCAGCAGTGTGGTCTGGGCTAAGCTTTCAGAGGCGCTCAGGGCGCACCGCGCTTGCTCGCGGAAGTTTGGGAACGTGTGCGCACAGTCCCTTCAAGTCGCCTGCATGCTCTAGGAAGGGCAGACTCTGGAAATCCCCCTGGGGCTGGAAGAATGTCTGCCATTTCTTCAGGGAAAAGGGCCAGCTGCGGTTCTAGGGGGCAAGTGAAAGGTATCCAGCCTGCGCCCCTACTCAGGGCGCGCCCGCGTCAATGAGCCCATTGTGGCTGCGGCCGCAGAGGACCTGCCGCTATCGCCAGGCCTCGAGTGACCACATTGATCCAGAGGGAGGGCTGCCCTGCCTCAGCATGTTGACCCTCGGAGATAATCTCCTGGGTCGTTGTGGGTTGACTTAGCGACAAGGTTATGAGGGGTTCCCCCCCTCAACTTCCCTGCCCCCAGCCTGGTAACTCTGAGCTCGGTGCGTCCTTCCGCCTCTGCTCTCGCCTCTCTCCTGACCCGGACGGTTTACTTTGCAATTCTCATCTAATTGCACAATTCTAGAATTTGGTCTCACATCGACGCTTCATTTACTCTCATTTAGTTCTTCTGCTCGACGCTGCAGAAAGAGAGGCACTCGCTCAGCAGAAACCAAACCCACCCACCTTGTGGTCCTGGGAGGAAATGGCAGACGCTGGACAAGGCGGTGTGCAGCAGCTGGAGGCAGACAATGGAGGCAACCTCTTAGCTTTCACAATTGGCAGGAGGTTCGAATCTCCCAGCCGCTCTGCCAAGGAAGATGGGCAATCTCCTGCCGTGCGATTTACTACTCCCTGTGACAATCTGCTAGGGAATCCACCTCAGGTCACAACAACAATAACAATCTACAGAGCACATAACAATCCAAAGAAGAGCCTAGTGTCTGGACAGTGATTTGTTATCACTGTTATTGCTACTGGTGCGCAAAGTCAGCAGGCTCCTGGACGGTTAATTACCGCGTAAGGGCGTTTGCTGGTTTAGTGGTAGGGAGTCTGGCTGCCAACCCAAAGGCAGGTAGGTGGTTGGAATATGCGGCTGCTCCTTGAAATTGAGAGACAGAGTGGATTGACACAGGAACCATAACATTGGGCTCAAACCCAGCAACTTGTGTGTGTGTGGGGTGGGGGGGGGTGTGCAGGACCCACAGTGCTCTGTCCTGATGGTCGTTCAAATCTAAGGTGTCCCATGAATGCACTTAACAATTATCACACCCGAGTCCATGGAAAGATGCAGCCAGCAGGCTCTTTCCGCCCAGCATGCCCTGTGCTGTTCTGTGGACACAGCGCAGTGTCAGGAACTCGCTGAGGCCATTAAAAGTGAAAAGCGCTTCCGCTCTGAGCCCCTCACGCCCCCCTCGTCTTCCACAGGCCGGGAGCGGGACCTAGCCATTAGGCCAGCTTCATCCAGAGCCATTAACAGCAGCCCTTTGGATAAATAAACAAAAAAGGCTGTAAACCAATTATAGTGTGGACAGTGAAAAAGTCGTTTATTAGCAGGACGCACTGATAGACCTCGCTGATGTTTGAGGTCCTCACCTACCCGCTTCCCCTCCTCCCTGCAGAAGCGCTCTGACTAGGGAGAACACGGTTCACCGGGTCGGTACCGGGTACCTGGCCAGTCTTCCTCCAACTTGCTCTTAGCAACGGCAAGAAGCGAGGTTGACGTGCTGCTGAGAAATCTTGAGTCACTGTGTCCTCTTATAAAGAAAAACAAAGCCAAAAAAACCGCAGAAGAGACAAACGTCACTCCATCTCAAATCCGAAATATCCTGGAGCAGGTTCAGTTTAAGAATTCTTTTGCTTTTTTTTTTGGGGGGGGGGGGGGAAAGTAAAATGACATCCCGAGTTGGAGTCTCTCTGAAGCAAACAAACAAACAAAAAAAGCATGGAGTAATGAAGACCTCCTTCCATCCTTTGTTTTGAATCTTTCTATTTCCTTCTGTGGCTCCACATGGCAGACACAGTGTTCCTTTACCTGCACGCTCACTGTCCCCTCCTCTTTTGTGATTTCAGGCAGAACCTGGCATCCAGGCTCTGAGAGAGCCTAAAGAAAACCCAAGGGGCTTCAGACTTCAACGGAAGGTTCTCCGGGGGATCCCTAAGGCAAGACAATCTAGCAAAAATAATCAGTGAGCTGTCATTATTTTGCAAGCGAATTCAGGTCCTCTGATGCATGCCTTTTCTGTACAGAGGTGCACTTAAACTTCTGACTTCGCTAAGCAGAAGTTTGGGTCTTTGTGGTGACAAGGGGTCTCGGTAGTGATAGAAAAGTTCCAGGGGCTGTGCAGTGGGGAGGTCAGAGGCCCTCTTTCTGCCCAGAGCTGTGCCCTGCTCACTCCTCTCCTCCCCACCATTTGGGGCTTCTTCCCACAGCAGTATTCTCTGATACCTGCTCTTTCTTCTTTCCTGCTTGAAGCCCTCCAAAGCCCTCCATTTATTTTGCAGCTGAAAGGAAAAGTGTGAAGGGAAGTTTAACTTCCAAAAGGTCTAGGGCCTGCCCCCACCTCCCCCAGCATCCCTGGGGCCCTCCCCTGCTGGTCTGCACTTACCTTTCTGGGCTGCTCCCACCCAACTTCCAAGGTGGGTGATCTTCAGAAGACCCCAGCCTTTGCTGTTTCCCTTCTGATCTCCAGCCCAGATAGCCAGCTCCTCCGCTCCTCCTCGCTTCCATTGAAATGCCTTTCTTTGCTCTCCACCCCCCCTCCCCATCACTGTTTCCTGTGACTAATTCTTTGTTCTCCTGGGAACCTTTCCTAACCTCCAGGTTCCTGCTGGAGTCCAGAGGAGGCTGGGCCTAGGCTGTCGAGCATCCTGTACTTCACAGAGTGTAATCATTTCAAAGGAATC